CAGTCACTTTAACTTAAACACACGCTATAATTCACAACGACTTACACACTTTTCTTATGGCTTGTATATACAAAATAGAGGGCGTCTGGCAAACACTCGAGCCTTCAGAAACGTTGGAGACACTCATTACGTGTTACCAGAGTCACGTGACTTCCGCTGTCGTGACACTATATTCTAATATGATTGATATCACGTATCTACCTAGTTTCGACACTCGCGATGGGCAGAGCACAGATATTCCTTTTTGTAGCATTTTGCTTTACAACAAACAAAGAAATTAAGCAGTTTCCTTATTTCAAGACATTAGTTTCAATGTTTTGTTAAGTATCATTGTTAAACTAAATAAGTTTCATTTCAAGGTTTAGTTTTTATAATGCAGAAACTTAATTATATTTAATTGGAGCAAATACTCAATTATAGGACAGATTAATTTAAAGATTTAAAAATAACAATTAATTTCCTAAGAGTATATGGTACATTATCTTATGATTAGTAATTTAAGAGTACTGTTACGCCTCCGTTAGTTAATTTTCCGTAAAAATTCTTTCCGAAGGAACTTTAGCGATACAAGTCCTTTCTTAAATAAAACTGGTTTATTCTCTCTGAATAAAACTTTGCAATACACTTAATTTCCACAGTCGCGCTATAACAAACGCTACAATTCACAACGAACGTCTCAAGTGCTCGACTCAATAACATTCTCTCTGTCCGCAGTTCAATTACCCATCACATTGTTGCCGTCACGTCTTGACCGTCTTATATATAAAAGAATACCAAAATCTAGTAAACGCTAGAACAGTCAGAAAGGGACACGATCCTTCTAGAAGTTCATGACGTGTTACTTCCGCTGTCGTAACAGTACTTTATAGCCATAATACGCTTGAGACTCTATAATACATTGTAACATTTTAAAGAAAAATACAAAACAATTAATTATTGTTTATTTTTACATGCCTTCAGACACTTGTGAAATTTAATTTTTCTGAATTTGTTTCACTGACTTATAACTGATACTGTAGTAACATTGTTCTCACGTTGGCGGGTTTTTTTAAAGTATCTAATGAAAACAATTCAGTGTAAAGTTTCTGAGTATTTAAAAATGGTATTTATGTCAAATACACATTGGTAGATATATCTTGCAAAACAAGTGACGTTTTACTTCCGAACTGTTTGCTAACATACACGATCAAATGAAGCGAAATACTTGAGTATAAACTGTTTGTGAGTGTATGTGGTCGAACAAAGTAAAATTGCACTAAATGCTTCTAAAATACTATTCAAGTACATGGCCCTCAAAAGGTGAATATAAATCGGTGTTTACAAAATGTAATGTATTGCATAAACCTGACGCAAGAATAATACTGGTAACATTTAACAGATTATTAAAAATAGTTAAGGAGGGAGGAAGAGGTCCCATGTGAACCTGACCCTCCCAGATCGCCCAACGACTGAAAACCGATTCAGAACAACGCGAATGTAATGTTTGCGTAGCACTCACAAATTAGTTTATTTCCTCCTTTAACGTCTCTGAAAGCTTGAACACTTGCACATTGTCGTAAATTATTGTAGGCCTACGTTACAAATTACGTCTAAACCTCTAACAATCTAAAATAACGTAACATCAAATCAACTTACTTGTACGAAGTAACTGTTGTTTCTAACACACTGGCTTATTCAGTCTACTATATTTTTTAAACAATGTTACAATCTCGTAACTTTATATATATACTTATTCACAATTCACCACTAGCTTCTTATTGACTAGCCCACTCATATTTTATAGCTGAGCTTTGCTTTAGATATTTACCAAGGCCCTGGATCATTATATCATCAATGGTCCACAGCACTTTCAAGCTAACTAATTATAAAATTAAAAATATTGTTAGGACAGCAGAACTCACGTGATTCTGGTAACACGTCATGAGTTTCTGGAAGGATCATGACTGTTCCTGGAAACTCTAGTGTTTGCCAGACGCCCTCTATTTTGGTATACAAGTCCGGCAAATAAAGCGGAGAGAGAATAATTGCAGATAGAGATATAGAGACAGATAATTGAGTTAAGTGAGCGGTAGTGACGATAAGTAAAGTGTGTGAATCGTTGTGAATTACAGCGTGTGTTTAAGTTAAAGTGACTGTGGAAATTAAGTGTATTACAAAGTTTGTAACGAGAAAGAATAAACTAGTTTTAATTAAGGAAGGACTTGTATCGCTGAAGTTTCTCGGAAATAATTTTTACGCGAAATTATCAAACGAGCAGATGCGTAACAATATAATTCATAACATGGCTCTCTTCCTGTATTGTAAAGTCCCTTGAACAATCCTATTACAAAAAATATAGTACTACACTAAACTGTCCAATCATCAAGTCATTTTGGTGGTTTTTCTCTTCTGAAACCCATGGTACATGGTTGGGATGTTGTCTCTTGTTGTAACAGGCTGTCTTGTCACTGGAGGGGTTCTCTCTCAGCAGGTGATTGGGTGAATAAACTAGCAGCTCCAACCCTAATGAATACCTGGAAGTAGTTTCAGGAATCTCAGCAGGTTGATATTCTACTGATATATTATTCTCTAAAGTTATCCAGTTAGCTGTTCCCTTACCACAATACGTCCAAAGAAGATCAGGGTGGATGACTTTCATTTTGAACCGCCTATCTTTCAAGATTCTGTAATCCACATCATTGATTTTTTTTCAATGTAAAGGATGGTCATTCCAAACACCTACTCAACTTTGGAGTTTGTTCTCTCGTGATAAGAACTGTTAGCCATACCTAGTTACTACAATGAAATCCAGTTTTATCGGCAATAACATCATAGCAATCTTTTGTTTTATCACAAGCTGTGAAGCCTATTTGAAACTAGCTTAAACTTACATCCATGTTTTTTTATGAATTCTGTTAATTCCCATAATGTTAATTACCTACATATGAGGTGTAGAGAAGCTTCCTCCTGCAAGGGTAACTTCCAACTTTCCTTTTGCTGAAACTTCATGCCCATCTTCTTTCTTCATCACTTGAGGCAACTTATCACTTTTCCTTAAACAAGGTGAGTCAAACAATTGCAGTTGAAGAAAAAGTGTCAGTTAATATACTGCAAAGTTTTCCATCAGTAAACCAATAGACTTGTGAACTATTTTCCTCAAATAATGAAATTATTTTCTGTTTTGGATAGATAGAGTATTCCCAGTTGAACCTCATGCCATAAATCCAACTAGTTTCCATCTTTTTGATATATGGTTAGCTCTTTGTTGTTTATTTGATCAGGTTATAGGATCAAAGGCATATCCTTAGGGTATTTTCTAATTGGTTTAATGATGGCTGTTGATTCTTTACAGACTCAGCTATAGTGGCCAGGTTCCCTAAATCTATAAGTAATTTCTTTCTGGTATCTCTTAAAAAGAGTGCTTATTCCGTACAGGCCTTTGCCTGCTCCTTAAAGCTAAACTTGAAACATCTGTTGTCTTGTAGTTTTTCTTCTGTTCTTTTTAATTAATTGTTTAATTAATTCTTTCAGTTCTTCTACACAATTTTTAGGAGGAGTTGATGGTACATTACTACAGGATTGGACATTTTTTGTAACTTGATAGTTCATTTAGTTGTTAATCTGCAAGTTTAATGGATTTTAGTTTCATCACCAACTTCAGTTTCTTTAAGGATGTACGCATACTTTTTTCAGTCTAATTCTTATATCTTTGTCTATTTTGAAGTCTGTAAGTTGGTCAACAGCCAATGAATCCATCACTTCATGAGGAGTATCTAAATAAGATAATTGAGCAAGCATACCCAAGTCTTCCATGAGCTCAGCTAAGGTCTCTTCTTTCCTCCATACTTTATTTCAGAATTTTGGTCTGGATCCTCTTTTCTGGTGCAACACTCCAAACCTATTGGAAAAGGCAGCCACTAATTCTTGGTAGTTGTTGCAGCTCTCAGCCAAAAGCTTACTTCATATTGTCAAAGCTGTCCTTTTAGATGGGCAGCAAGATAGATGGCTTGTTGTTCACTCTGGAAATGGTTTCCAACTGAGCCTGGTATGACTCTCATGGTACCTTCTTATCATAATCCATTGGTTTCTAGATTGGCCAATGTTAAACTAGCCAGATAAATTCTGGAACTTGATTCGGTAGTATCATGGCTGGAGTAGTTCAGTAAAATCTTTTAGTAACAAGTGGCACAGTATATCTGGTAGTAGATGTTTGTGGCTTGAACTCTTGAGCAAATGTAAAAAGAGGTGTGACTGGTTTATTATTTACATTTAATACTTCATTTTACAGATGTTTCTTCTTATTCTCTTTTAAATGCTCTGTCTATTTCTGTTTGTTCTTACTTCTATTGTTTTATCATGTGTAGCAAGCTTCTTATCTCACTCTATGCCCTTGTGGTTGTCGTTTTCAACAGTTGAAGTTCTTGGATATATTCAAAGTTATATTTGATTTTTATCAAAATAATACACTGCTTCTGACACAATTTGGTAACATTATTCTCTCATTGGCAGGTGCCTTTAAATCAATCAGTGAAAATAAACTCCAGTCCAAGTAGTAATCATAAGTTACACTATTTCCTCCTTTAACATTTCTTCAAGCTTGAACAGTTGTATACTGTTGTAGTACTACGTTATAAATGATGTAAGGATCTAGGACTAATGTTAAGTCAAATCAACTTATTTGCACAAAGTAACTGTCATAGCTAATAAACTTACTGATTCACACTAATATATATTACTTAAACAACTCTGAAAAAAATTCGCACAATTTTTCTAACTCTGTCTATACTCACGCTATTCACAACTAGCTAATAATTGACTGCCCCACTCACACTTTATAATTAAGTCTTGTTCAGGATATTTTGCCAGGTGTCTGGATCATTACATAATCAACAACTTGCAACTTCCTCTGGTTAACAAAATGAATGACATCATTAAATGTATAGCTTACAACAATATTTTAATACATGTAAGAATTTTAATCTGAAGTTAAGTACAAATATGAGAATCTAAGTACAAAATGAATAAGTTATGTACTAAAAATAATCAAATATATATTTATAGCCACTTCACGAACTTGATGAAGAGAGATACAAGAAATTTGGGAAAATATATGGGTAGGTAATTATCTGATTTTTATCAACCAATTTAATGGTGATGTTGGTAGATGTACTGATGAGATAAACCCATTAAGTTAACAAAAGAATAATATACATGTCTAGCTTTTGACAATTTTACCCATCCGTTAAAATTTTTACAAATTATTTTGATGAAATGCTTTTTTAAATAACTATAATAGTAAATAGGATAAACATTTTTGCTTAAAGAACAGAAGCTGTTTTTTAACACTGTTCAGCAACATTTGAAACAATAACTTAGTAAAAAAAAAAGGAACTATCAATAAGATTAATATTGTTAACTTTATATCCATATTTTAATCCATGTTTTTTTTTTTCATTATTAATGATTTAAATATTTTTCAGAAAATATGAAGGTTCTAGACCTGTTTTGGTGGTCGCAGAACCAGAACTGATAAAGCAGGTCATGGTGAAAGATTTCCATGCCTTTAGTGATAGACGTGTAAGCATTATTGGTCTAAAAATATATTAGACTTAAATTTCCAAACTATATTAAGTTCTGTAGTGGTAAGACACACACACACACATTTAAGAGAAGAGTGTTAAGTTTAAAGTGGACTTGGACAAATTCTTTGGAAATAATTCAGTTATATTTACATTTTGCTTAATTTTGTTTTTCCTATGTGGTTACAACAGAACTAAGAGAGAAAATGTAAATATTCATTCATTGTTTGTATTAAACTCTCATTTCCAACACATAGTTTAGTACTATAATTAAAAACAAAACTGAAGAGAAAAATATGTTTTATAAAATAACAGAAATCCTACAATTGAACCTTAAAAGTAAACACAATTAATCTTCAACATGGTTTTTAAGTAGGAAAAAAGGACTACAGATTTGATGGCAAGCAGTTAATTAATTTTAAAATCACTAAAATACTGTCCCTCTTAATTCTTATTTTTGCATTTCTTATAGTAAGATTTTATTTTTCATTGTGAAGTGCATTAATTGTATTGATTAAAAAAAAAAAAAATCCAATAACTATTATTTCTTGTATTTAAGTTAATAATTACTTCTATTGCTATAAAGCTAGCTAAGCTGATAAAATTTTCTAAATCAGTATTAATTTAATTTTTTTTTTAATTTAAAAAGACTTTTGCAAATAAAAAGTTTGAAAGGTTTAGATAAGAAATATTGGAATATTTGTGTCATTTAATCATATCTGTGGAATGACAACTTTGAAAATAGGCTCACTAATTATTTTTACATGTCAGGTATTATTAGTTACTAAATAGTTTTGAGAGTTTTTTTTTGCTGTTACTATGATAAAACTTATGATGTCCTCACTACAATCAAATGGAATTTCTAAAACGTGTTTTGTTATTTTACTAATTAAGAATAAAAATCTCAAAGTATTTCTTTTTATATTGTTAGAGCAGTGAATTATCAATTTGTATTTATAATGAATTAATTCATGATGTTAAAAAAAGTACAGGACAAGACCAGTTATGATGAAATTTTAATGCACACTATAACCCTGTTTTCACAGGATAGTTGGAACTTCATTCGATACTAAATCATAGTCCATATCAACCATTGTTAACATATTACAAGGATTATAGATGTTTAATTTAGACCAAGTAAGAACAAGTTAACTTTTATTTATAGTAGTATTCTAACAACAAAAGCTAATAATGAATTCTGATTACGTATTGGATATGGTTTGTTCTGTTGTATATCATCTAGAGTTAATAGCTTTTTTTAAATCTTGTTTATACTCAACAGGATATTAAATTTGGAGATTCTGTTTTGGATAAAATGTTGACAATTTTAAAGGGAGAGGAATGGAAACAAATTAGAAGCATCATTTCCCCTACATTTAGTGGCAGCAAAATGAAAAAGGTATTGTGACTTTGATTTTTTTAAACTACACTCAATTATTTTTAATACAGTCTTTGTTTAAAAACTAATGCGGTAAATGTTGAAAATAGTTCCAAATTCTAATAAATCATCAAAAATATAATTGTCACATGGCCCCCAAAGATGCAACACTGTGAATCTGTGGAATAAAGAATTGAAGACCTGCATTGTTTAATAAAATTATAATTGTATTGGTATTATCATTCCAGTTTGAAGTTTGTGAAAGGAAGGTAAAGTTTCATTCATATTGTTACGTATCTGCTTGTTTGAAAATTTCTGGTAAAATTCTTTCAGAGGGACTTCAGCGATACAAGTCCTTTCTTTATTAAACCAGTTTATTCTTCCTTGATACAAACTTTTAGTAATACACAGAATTTTCAGTCACTTTAAACTTTACAACTTTTATAACACACGCTATAAACCACAGTGATTCACACACTTTACTTACGGTGCCTACTGTTCTCTTGACTCAATTATCTATCTCTTCAATCTATCTGCATATCGTGCTGGTTTTTCTCGTCAGGCTTATATACTAAAAAAGAGGGTGCCTCGTACAAACTAGAGTTGCTAGGAAAATTCATGATTCTTTGAGAAACTCCAACGCGCATGCTCCCAGCATCGCATGACTTCCACTGTCGTAACAATTTTAATCACTTGTACTGTTAAATAACAGCAATCCTGCATCTAATGAGATCAAAGTAACAAGCTGTTTGACTTCCAAGTTCTGAAATATGAGTTTTACTGAAGGATAATTTGATTGCTTAATGTGTAAGTAGAAGTTGTCCACTTGGGGATATAGCTAGATACACATACTTAGAAGCATGAGGCTTTAAAGGTGAAACTGTAAAGTCACCTGAACATCATCAAATTTAGATGTTACTTAGATACAATGTACCTTTGCCAACCTTTCTTAAACATTAATGCACAGTGTTATAGAGAATTAATATAGGTAATTACCTAAGATCATTGAAAAATCGTCAATTGTACCCATCAAGTTTTTCATGAATATTAATGAAACTAACAGGCATGCTGTATTTTGCAATAATGCTTCACAGATCAGCAATCACATTTAATTTCATGCAATAATACTTTTGCACCTTCATCCATTGGCTGTACCAGGAAAAAAGTCACTGGTTCCAGATATTTTTAGTATGGTAGTGAAGATTGGTTCTTTATCAAAAAAGGAAAGTTTCAGTCATAGAAATGGTTCTTTATACCAGGATCATTTGAGATTCAGTTCACAATATGTGTAAATAAGAATCCATTGACTTATTGAAGACAAAAAAGCCAAATGGGTCCAGAACTTGACCTTAGAAATCAAAGGTCTATATTGAGGTTTACATGTTCTCATGAATAATCGCATATAGAACATGAGTATTTTGTACCCATGAACTGTTTGATCCAGGGGCTTCCATTGGGTTTTCACTTGATCAATACGTATGTATCCACACACGATTCTGACCCAGATTAGGTGACACTAAACTTCACTTTTGATCGTTAGTATTCTCCAATGTTTTCATTGTCGTATTCAGGAACATTCTCTCCATTACAAGTTTAGTACTAGTAATAGTGCAACTTGCAAAGTTTCACCACTTGGGTGTTCTACTTTTTGCTTTGCTCTAGACCAATTACAGGCTGCACATTCATGCATCTTAAGTTGCTTCTTGCACTGAAACAATATTAAGAAAATATTTATAAAAACCACCTCCAGCTTCTACTCAGATTACTTCATAACTTTCTTGGATTACAATCCATGAATACTATTGATAGCTGTCTCTCATTAGTTATGCAAACTGTCAATGCATAACTGAAAAGCCATCCTAAACTGTGTTAATTGAGCAGCTATCGTCTAGTATCCTATAGATATCCCTCTTTGTGAAACTTTTTCCTGTTAGATCAGAAAGTAGGGATTGCAAAACCATTTCAATTTCATTCATCTTGTGGTTAATAAACTTTCCCAACTTTAGATGATTGTGTCGTATTCCTACAGTATAGTGCATACACTATATCTTACAATACCATCTGATAGCTCGTAAAGTAATGATCCCAACACCTTTTCAGTTGAGTTTTCGAACTTCTAGTTATCACCTCATTTTGTTCACTATGCATTATAATTGCTGGAACAAGCCATCCTAGCTTTTGATGCAAGTGGTAACTGCAGTATGTATATACACAGTGTCTCATCTTTTGGGGGATATAAACAAGATTCATGATACCCTTTAAATCAGTAGCATTTCAATTACTTAACCTTTATAGTTTTGTTTTGGATTTACGCTCGTATATATCGATTATAAGATCATCATCATTGGTTTTGTGCTTTACTGGAGCTGACTCTCATCTCCAGAGCTGTTTCTTTCTGAATAGCTAGATAATTATTCCCAACTTTTTCTCCTCATCTTCAGGGTCATAAAGGGATAAAATAATGCTTTCATCTTCATCTCACTGGACTACTTCTATGTGGTCATGCCTATTCTCCAGAGGTTCATCAATCATGTACAGACATAGCTGGTCAATAGGTGCAACACACTTTTGTGGGCCCCCTGACTACTGTAACACATACATTGAAGTATCAACTTGGAACACAAGATGGGGTCTCATCCAGCCTGAGCAAAGAGGCTTTCATGCTGCTTACATATACCAAAGTCACATCCAGTCTCCACTCTGGTACATCCATTCCTTCACTGCCTTATTGTAGCATTTCTTTTGTATGTCATCTTCTCCTAGCTGTTGATGCACAAATTCATGCATGTCAACTAAGACATTCCACAGATTCATCCCAGTCAGTTTATTCCACTAAATAGGTCTTCTTTTGGCATTCTATATCAATCTTTCCATTAACCCATCATATAAGGGTAATAAGGTGAAGTTCACCTTTTCACCACACCCATCACTTTACACAACTCTGAGAACATTTGACAGTTAAAGGTAGCTCCCTGATCCAAGTGGATCTCTTCAGGTGCTACAAAACAGATCATTAAGTACTTTTCTAGCACATCAGCCATGGATTGTGTGAATGTATTGACCAATGATGAAGCCTCTGTCCAATTTGTGAACTAGTCAATGAACATGACTGCACATATATAGAGAGAACCTTTTTTTCTGTCTCTGTTAATTGTCCAATGATATCCAGGACTATTCTCTGGAGAGGAGACTCAACATTTATCTGCTATAATTTGTCATGTTTAAGTCAACTTTTCTCTGATTGCACACAATGTACAGTATCAACACCAGCTCTGAATATCTTGACTTGAATGCATCCAGAAAAACTACTCTTGAATGCTAGCACAAGAGTGTGTAACATCTTGGTGCTTTTCAGTCTTTGTGTTGTGCATATGTGCTATATTTCACATCCTGAGCCAGATGTGCTTTATCGTGCTGGATGGAAAGGACTTTTGTACTAGATCTGGGGTCATTCAGTTACTCTTCCCAGAGCTTCCAAAGTATAACACATGGCATCTGTCCACTAGTGAAACTCCCTACTATATGGTTTGTCATCATTATGGTAGAAATTATCTTAATTCCTACACAGTATCTAAGATGTGGACATCCAACAAACATAGAGGGTATGGCAAGCAGTTTGTCTGCATTTTCATGTTGTTGTCCCAGTGTTGTAATCTAGAATGTTATTGACCCTTTGGAGTTTTTAAAGTTCATCCATCTTCAGTGATGTTTGGTCCACTTGAACAATGAATTTATCATAAAAGTAGTGCTGAAAGTGTTTACAAAGGTCACTGCAAGCAGTTTTTTTTCTTCACCATACAGTATTTTTGTTCAGGAGCCATATGAGTATGAATAGCATACACATTTACACATTCCCCTCTTTCCTCCAACTGCGATGACAATGCTTCAATTCTACTATCTCCAGCATCAGTGTTTAGCAGGAATTCACAATCCTGTCAGGGATATTCTAGTACTGGGGCTTCTACTAAAGTAAATTTCTGAGATACAAATGCTTACTCTCATTCCTCACTTCTTCGGATATGTATTTCTGCTTTGGACCTCTAGTCAATAATGGTGAGACTATCTTGGAGAAGGTAATCACAAACCATTGATTGTACAACACAATATGAAGGAAACTGCAGATTTCTTATTTGGTCACAGGTTGAGGCCAATTTCACACCACTGCTATTCTAGCAGAATCCACTAGAGATTTCTTTTCTTCCCACAATATTACCAAGAAATTTCATTTTAATGTACATGGACTCTCATTTTCTTGGTTTTTATCCATTGGAATACCATTTTCAAGTTTTTGGCCACAGACTCGAATGTGCAACTAAACAAAAGGTATCATCAACATGATAGATTAGGCACTTCTTTTATTGCAGCCCATTTAGCATTAACTCATTCAACCTATCAAAAATGGCAGGTGTGTTACACAGGCCAAATAGCATAACACAAAACTTGTACATCTCATGCTAAAATTAGTCTTGGATCTGCTTTTATCATCCAGTTTGATTTGCCAGTATCTAGCTGCCAGGTCTAAAGTATTGAACCAATTGTCCCCTCTACTTTTATCTTTTCATGGTAACGGAGAGGTATCATAGTGGGTTACCACATTCACCCATCTAAAGTCAATGCAGAACCTTGGTGTACCTTCCTTCTTTTTTTTGACAGTTACTACTGGAGATGACCAATAATTCTGTGGAGGCTGTATGATTATGACCTGTAGTATCCACTGTATTTTAGTACTTGTGATCTCCATGTTGCTTCAGAGAAGCCTGCACTGTGTTTGTTTGATTGAATGTACATCAGTCATATCTACCTGATATTGCATGATTGTGGTTTTACTCAATCAGCCATCTGGTCCAGAAAATACATTGGCACATTCCACTAACAAGTCATTGAGTTGTTGCTACTGTTTTCAATCTAGATTGTCTCTAGAATCCTCAACTAGCTATCTAAAATATGTACGTATCTTAGTATCTACTTTTGATGAGAAACAATGATTGCAACCCTAGTATCACTGTTCACTTTTCTTACAGTGTTGATGAACATTCCAACATGTAACTAGATGACTGATCATTCATCATTCCAGAATAACATTGGAACTTCATTTCCCTCAAATAAATAATTGTCTAAGTTAATGCTGCCTGCTTGATGGGTAGAAAACAACTTGTTTCATGCATAGGCTCAATGACTGTGTTACACAGTACCAACACACTAGACATTTTCTGTAGTAAACCATAGAATATGACTTCTACTTGGATATGGGAGCACTGTTACTTCCTCTTGCACATTCACTAATGCACTCCACTATTTTTTGGGTTTATCTGGCTATCACCACATGACTCTACCATTGAATATTAGTTCACCTGATGCACAGGTAAAATTGACCAATAAACTCCAAAGGACATCCATCTCAAGAATGCAGATGCTTAAACTAAGGTCAGCAACAATTAAATTAATTCTGTAAGCAAATCTCCATAGACATTGTCAAAGCATAGCTTTTTCATTCACATCAATTTTATATCTATCACCAGAACAAAGTTTGTGTTGATAGGCCCAAGTTGGTTTTACTAAGAGTACCTGATATACTGCAAAATCTACCAGTTTTGGGCTACTTGTATTCCAACAGACATGTATCAAGACCCACCCAGCCCTGAAAGAGCTGGACTGACCACCACACTGTTTGGTATAAGTTGATCATTGCACTCTCCCAAATTGGTGGCCAAATCCAGCTTTGGCTCCTCTAGTTTCCTGGAGTTACAGCAGTAGTATTTAATGTATGCTATAGGCTCTTGTGAACCTGTTGTACCATCATTAAAAACTGATAATGTTGTGTATGTTACTTGTCAAAATTGGTGTAGTCTGTCCAAAAATGACCCAGTCCAGAGACAAAGCATGTGTCTAGGTGGAGACTTTGGTGGCAGTACATTTACCATGGGAGAACCAGGATAGCCCTACCCATTCATAGATACGAGTGTGGCTGCATCACATTGGCAGGTTGTGTGGGTGTTGATGGTTGTTTAACCTTCAACTGGGTTTGAACCTGGTATAACATGGGCACCAGGGTTGAATGATCTGTCTGAAGTGAAGTCACTGCAGGTTAATACTTCATATTTCATCATGACAGGTACCAGATACTATCTCATTTAGGGTGAGAAGGTTTCTGACACTCGGGTAATGCTGCATTGTCTCTGTGAGTAGCATTTCCACAATCTTTTTTATGAAAATATCCTTGCAATCTTCCAAGGCCATTGCAGGGTAAGCTTTAATGTATAAATTAAACAGATTTTCCACATAAGTGGTCAAGCTTTCTGTGGCACCCCTCTTCTGAGTCTTCACTTCAGCCCAATAGATCATTTTGTTTTCCACCTGGACAAACTTCTGGAGCAACTCAGTAATAATTGTCTCAAAGTCCTTGAGTTGCTCCTCATCCAAATACTCTAGACTCTTGACCAGGCATTGAAAAGCTTGTTCTGGAGTCCAGCCAATCTAGGCAGTTATCTGCTTGAAAATGCTTCAGGAAATAATCCAAGTCTTTCTTTTCTATGCCTCTAAATATCAATGGAATGATCTGCTTTGCCTTACACATGAAGAACTATAACAATGACCAGTAATTTTAGAAGCTTGAATGAATGGTAGGCTTCTGATTTAGAATGGCAGAGAAACAAGATGTGCTAGGCAACTGTTCTGTTGTCTTTGCTTTACCACATGTTCCTCCATGAACCATGTTCACTCTGACAATATACTTTTTAGTTTGAGGAGAATGACCACTGTTTCCAGCCTCACTTTATCTGTGGGTGGTCTTGATCAGAGCTTGAGTTGGTATAAATCTGGGAGTCTTGTACAGACCTCTCCAGTTTCAGACTTTTTAGACACCAGACCACCACAACAATCATCAGGTCATGCCTTCCTCACCCTAAGGTAGATCCTCAAGAGAGCACTCGGTTGACAGATCTGGGTGCTCGACATGTTGATATGTGGGTTTAGGTTGCAAAGAGATCAATGGCATTGACCTTCACAGCATCGGTGAAAGTCCAATATCCAGAAGAGGATTTCTCCTAGACACAACAGCTCTGTCAGACAACCATCTTCATTCTTTCACTGATTGACTCTTTTTCTAGATGTAGAAAATGTTATTTTCTAAGTGTGAAGTATATTTAAACATGAATCACACAAGAGTTTACATGAAGGGCAGTAAGCACTTCAACAACTATTAGTGCACACTGCAGTTACAATACCTTGCAGTCACTGCACCAAAAGTTTCCCCTACCTATCCATTCTGTGGTATATTCAGGTGAACTATATATATGTTTGCACTGTCAGGTAGGTCCACTAAATAACAGGAGATTAGTTCAGGATATCAGTTACGAAATGTAACTAAAACTCTAATTAAACTAAGTCGATATAAAAATGAAATAAGGAGACTAGACATAAATAATACATAAAACACACAATCTTTAGTAATGTACTAAACATAAACACTCTGTAATTGCAGACAACTTACTTTGGATGTATGCTCTAAGTTACTTCACTCAGATTTATTTGGTTGAGGCTACCTTCTAAAAATAAACTGACTAATTGAAGGAGAAGTTTCAGACTAAATAAATTCCAGGTTCCTTAGTTTCCAAGAAGTCTTGTATTTACCCTGAGAGGTCTTTCTTATTACATGTAGGTGGGTTTGTAACTTCTGTATATCACCTAAACAACTGTTGAAGAACACTGCTGTCAGTATCATTACACAATGTCACATTAAACAATGTTCTCCACAGGAAGTAGCAAGTAATACTTACTTTGAGAACAAGAAAGAAATATGGATAATGCAAAAGAAGATGAACTTGATAGTTTTCTTGACCTCTGTTATGTGAAGCCTGCAGATATTAATAACAAAGAATGAATTAAGAATAAATATTGTAACACTACAAGAAGATAGATACCAATAGTGTGTTTGTATACCACGTTATTATCAAAAGGTGAATAGGATATATTTAATAAAACCCAAGTTAGTAAATTGAAATGATGTATTTCGAGTAAATTCGAATTTTTAGTTGAAGAGACAAAACATTGAAGCAATGAAACCATTCTAAGCCTTGTTTGAAGATGCCACCTTTTCTTCTGTTTTATTATTATTATAATTTTTAACATTTAGACTAAATTGATAATATTGTTCATAGCACTGTGTCAGTTGTTAGATCTGTAAAAACTGTTTTATGCTTGTATTCAGAATCTAAAAGTAACATATCATTGGATTGTAGAGTTAGTATTAATGAAAGCATGTGAAATTGAATATATAACTGATTTGCAGATGTCATATTTGGTTCAAGACACTATTAAGAGCTTGATTCAGAATCTTGAGAATGCTGCTGACAAGAAAGAAGTTATTGACTGCAAAAAGTAAGGCTACACCTTCATACTATAAATATATTATGTTATTAATATTTTTACATTTAACCATGATGCTTGGCCTTCCAATAGAGGAAAGTAAATTAGGGATTTTTTACAAAGAATGTATTTAATAGTTTGGTAAAATCAAGAGACTGATAAATTAAAATTAAAATGAGTGTGTACTCATAATACTGTGACTACTATATCATTAGGTGAGAATAATACTACTATTATATATTTATTTAAAACATTACATAATTGTTAGCTTATTTTCATTTACAATTCATTGGCATAGTTTTACTCAGTTTATAAAATATCATAAAGAACACATTGATTATGAAAAAAATCAAATACCTAAATAGATTACCATTTGTTTATTGTATCAACTGAGTATGTTTTTACCACAAACATCTCTTTTAAAGAGCAGGTTGAATGTGGCCCTTTGGTTAGCATGCCATACTATGCTTCTGCAGATTCATTGTTTAAATTCCTTTACCACCATTAAAAATGTATGTATATATATATATATATACTCTGCAGTTTAGGGCATGGAAGTGTTATAATGGTGATGCTCATATCCCACTATTTGGCCAGATAAGAGTTAGTGGTGGATGCTGTTAACTAACTGCCTTCCTCATATATGATTTCCACACTTCTTTGTGGTGTGATCCTTTACTAAGAGCCCTAGAAATACCACCTTCGTTTTGATTCTACAATAAAAAGTTCTCATAAATGGTAGTGATAATAAGGTTGTATTAAACTTTTCATTAGTAAAATGGATGGGGATACAACTACACATTAAATTACAAAATTATAACTATTATTTTATGTCACCTGAAAGATGTTGAAGAAGAATTGTGACTTAATACTTTTAATACACAAGCTATATGTTTGTTTTAGCAAGTATAATTTCTCCAAGTGTGGTTGTAAATTTGCTAGTCATAGCTGTAGTTCTGTTGAAAAGCTTTTTCAGTTAATTTTGCCCATGCCTCCCAGTGGCACAGTGGTATGTCTGCGGACTTCCAATGCTAGAAACCAGGTCTCGATACCCGTGATAGGCAGAGAACAGATAGCCCATTGTGTAGCTTTGTGTTTAACTACAAACAACAACATTTTGCCCGTTTATCTTGTGATGCATTAGTAAGGAAGATAACAATTTGTAGGCTTTTGATGCTAAAATTTGCTTTTTGATATCCTTGCCAAGATGGGCAGAGCACAAACAGTCCATTGTGCTGCTTTATGCTTTAAAACAACCAAACAAAAAACTTATTAGGTACAATATAATAAAATATTGCAATTTTTTTCAGTACATTTTACAGAAAAATGTAATCTTGAACTGTGTTTGCATCCCAAGTGGGGTCATGAAACATACTCTGGGAAACTTTTCTGTAGTCAGTCAGTCAAAAGTAGAGTTACTCAATGTAGTTTGATGACCTTTAATTGAGTACAAACTTTTACATGAATATCAGAAAACAAATTACTAAAGTTGCAATTTTATCATAAATAATTAAATCATGATTGTACTTATTCATTTTAAGTGATAGCTTGTAGTGAGTTGTAGGAAATAAATGTATTTTATTATATTAATTTAAAGTTAGGTACAGTATTTCAATTACTAGTGTGTTTTTTGTTAAGTACGATATTCTATTGCCAGGACAACTTAATTCTGTTTAACATGGCTGTACATTATTAAGGCTTGGAGCGCATCAAATTTATTTTAAATGTTTAGGATCTCTAAAGTATTTTTGTGTAAATTTCATAGTGTTTGTTAATTTATATATACGCACACACACACACACACACACACACACACACACACACACACACACACACACACACACACACACACACACACACACACACACACACACAAATATATATATATATACACACACAATA